CGACGGAGCCCGCAGCCCGCACGGGAGAAAGCCCGCCCCGCTCAGCCCCGGTGTCCACTCGACCCGGAAGAGAAGGAAGGGAGCTGGACCAGAGCTCGGGAGTGGGAGCCGGCGCCGGACCTCGGCGGGGCTTCTCTCCCCGGCGCCTCGCCAGAGCCCAAATCCCGGGTTTGAACAGGGGATAAGAGGCACGTGCAGACGTTTCCGTGGCCACGGGCTGGCCCAGACCGCCCGCCTCTCGCCTTGTCAAACTCACCCCGGACCAGGGAAGGCAGAAAACAGGACGCAGTTCCCAGTAGGTAGAAGCCCTTGAAGTTAGGCAGGCAGCTCCAAGTCACGTCGTTAAATCAGGAAATACACAGGTTTATAAGGTGTCACGAGCAACGGTCCCGTTGATCAAGGAGAGGTGTGAGGGAAAACTAGTGTTTTCTCCTTCGGGGAGCGGAAAAATGGGAACATCGCTAGGCACCGCGGCGCTCGCCTGTGATCCCAGCGACTGGGGAGGCCAGGGCAGGAGGATTGCGAATTCGAGGCCAGCCTGGGCAACAGAGCAAGATCCTGACTCAAAATAGAAAATAAAAAGGACTGCGGAGGTAGTGCAGTCGTAAAGCGTTCCTGGGTTCAATCTCCCGTGCCACTAAATAAAGAAATATGTTTAAAAATAAAACAATGCCCAGATGACAGACACTAGATTTAAGTCAAGTCAATTCAGGAAAAGTAGAAGTAATTATTTTTAAGTTAATGTATTTTTGTTTTGAGTTTTTAGCCCCTAAGCCATTATTATAATTATTATTGTGAGGCAGGATCTTGCTAAATTGTTTAGGGTCTTGCTAAACTGCTGGAGCTGGCTTTGAGCCTTGAACTTGAGAACCTCCTGCCTCAGCCTCCTCAGTCGCTGGGATTACAGGCATGCACCCCCGCACCCAGCAAAAGTAATCTATTACCTAGTCAGATCTTTAGCAGTTCAGATTATAACTGAACTTGAAAGACCTGGTATCTTGTGAAATTGAAATTCTCTATCAATTTGGCTACTATAAAGTTCTGTTCTGCTTCTTGTGGTTTTAAATTTTCTTTATTGTGAGATAATCATAGATGGATAAAATGTATAAAAAATATGTACTGGTTCCTTAAAACGTATAGTATATAGATAGATATCTTTTATAGTGATTCTTTAAACCATACATAAACACTAATATATATATATAATGTATGTATGTATACACACTATACATACACACACACACACACACACACACACACACACACAGAAACCATATATATACACTACATATATGGTTTAAGGAATCACTATAAAGTAATCATCACCACATCAAGCATAGAACAGAGTCACCCTCCCAGGAAAATCCCCCTAAACAGTAGTCTCACTCATCCCCCAGAGTTAAATACCATCTGACCTTTATGAGAAAAATTTTCTTGCTTTCATGTATAACACCATCACCTAAGTATGTACCCCTAAACAATGTCGCTTCCAACTGGCATAATACTGAGTAATTTTGTTGCTTTTTTCTTTTGCACATCACCATGTTCTTGAGATTCATCCAAGTCCACAAGGAGTTTCCACTTTGGACTGTTTTCAAGGTGCACATCCATCCTTCAGTGCATGTACTAAAAGTCTCAAGGGCATATGATTAACTGGAATTCCTGGAAATGCGGGTATACCTTTCTTTAAACTGACCAGATAAATTCAAAGTGTTTTTAAAACTTTTCCACAATCTGCACTCCTATCAGCACTTAATGTTTTCAGTTGCTTAATGTCCATTCAAGTGCTTGGAATTGTCAAATTGTTTTCCAGTCTTGTGAATATGCAGTTGTATGGTGAGTTTATTTTGTATTTATCATTATTACTAATAACATTGAGCACTTTTGCCCACATTTACTACTTACTTGGAGATCCAAGTTTGCCAAGAAACTGTTCAGGTCTTTAGCCCATTCTTGTATTGTCTTTTCTTTATTGGCTTGTATGATTTTCCTAACATGCTACATACTACTCTGATGTCAGTTATATGTTGCCAGTATGAGGGGTTTTTTTGCCTGATTTTTCTCTTTATGATGACCTTTGATAAGTATACATTCCAATTTTCTTTCTTTGTTGCCATTTTTTCTTTTCTTTTTTTTTTGGGGGGGGTAATGGGGTTGAACTCAGGGACACTCCACTGAGCCACATCCCCAGCCTTTTATTGTATTTCATTTAGAGACAGGGACTTGATGAGTTGTTTAGGGCCCCGCCAAGTTGCTGATGCTGGCTTTGAACTTGCCATCCTCCTGCTACAGTTTCCCTAGCCACTGGAAATACAGATGTGCACCATTGTACCAGGCTTTAATTTTCTTATAGTTACATTTATGGTTTATGATTTAGTATCTTGTTTAAGAAATCCTCACTACCCCAGCTTCATGAAAATCTTGAGAGAATAGCTTTGCTTTTCATATTTAGGTCTGTTATGGCATCCAGAATTGATTTTTGTGAATAATGTGAGATAGGTCCTTATGTACAGTCAACTGTACCGTTTTCATTTCATGTTGATCTCCTTTATCCATCAATGAACATATTTGAGCAGGTCAGTTTTTAGGCTGAAATCTCATTTGGCTTTCGAAATCACCCTACCAGAAGGAATTACACCCAATTTACAGATGAAGAAACTAACTTCAGAAAGGGTAAATAATTTGCCCAGTGTCACAGAACCAGAATTTTTACCAGCACAAAAATAGTCACCATTTTCATAATTTCAAAATGAACATTTGATAGTGTTTCATAGAGTTTAAAATTCATGAAAAGTCTAAATTGGTCTACTGTTATCTGGCAATTAAAAGTGCAGGGCTGGGGCTGTAGCTCAGTGGTAAAGTGCTTGTCTCGAATGGGTGAGGTACCAGGTTCAATCCTCAGCACCACATAAAAAATAAATAAATAAAGATACTATGTGTTCATCTAGAACTACATAAATATTAAAAAAAAAAAAAAAGTTCAGGGCTGAGGGACTGAGGTTGTGGCTCAGTGGTAGAGCGCTCACCTAGCATGTGGGAGGCACTGGGTTCAATCCTTAGCACCACATAAAAATAATAAAACAAAGGTATTGTGTCCAACTATAACTAAAAAAAATAAATGTTAAAAAAAAGTTCAGTGGCTCAAGTGGTAGCACGCTCGCCTGGCATGCGTGCGGCCTGGGTTCGATACTCAGCACCACATACAAACAAAGATGTTGTGTCCGCTGAAAAACTAAAAAATAAATATTAAAAAAAAATTTTTTTTCGAATTTTTTTATTTTTTTATTGTTGGTCATTCAAAACATTACATAGTTCTTAATATATCATATTTCACAGTTTGATTCAAGTGGGTTATGAACTCCCAATTTTACCCCGTATACAGATTGTTGTATCACATCAGTTACCCTTCCATTGATTTACATATTGCCGTTCTAGTGAATGATGTATTCTGCTATCTATCCTATTCTCTACTATCCCCCCTCCCCTCCCCTCCCCTTTTCTCTCTCTACCCCCTCTACTGTAAATCATTTCTTCCACTTGTATTATCTTGTCTTACCCCTCCTTTCCTCTTATATGTAATTTTGTATATCCCTGAGGATCACCTTCC